TTAATAATAAATAAGTCTCTGCGGGGCTTATACTTAGAAAACAATACATTTACATATCGTTTACAAATGTTTTTGGWTATATATTTGTAATACAGTACATACTGTTAGTATGTCTATGAATATAAAAATGCAAAAAAATAAACTTTTATTTTCTCAGTAAATGAATTTAAAATGATATTATAGYGCTTATGTAGCTTATGGGTTGTTGTATAGGTTTTATCTAATAGTGGATCCTGGTGCTGTTCATAAACATGTATTATTGTGAATTTTTTAAGTATATATTTTAGTACAGTATATACAGTATTTATATGTGTGTGTGATATAAATAAAAATAATACAATAAATTGTGAACAAATAAAAATATACTAAACTTGAATTAATTAACATTTTTATTTATAAATAAAACTTTTATATTTGAATTGTTTGAATTGACTGATACATACTGTTAGTTATTGAATATTWAAAAATATATGTAGTTTATAATAATTATTATTTAATATTATAATATTTTGTTAATTTATAGTATTTAAAATACACTTTTATTAAATTAATTTTGACATAAAAATTAATTATAATTTATTTTCTATAAATACTTATAACTAAACATACGCAATTCATGACTAGTAGTTTTATAATGATTTTACAACATATTTAATAAAACATAACAAAATGTTATAAAATTAATATATAAATATAATACTAAATACATTTTTATACGAATTAATAATTTTATATACTGTATATTGTATTAAAATTTTTTTATATATTATTCAACATAATTGTCTAAAACAAAAAATTATTTATTTATTATTTAAAAAACTTATTAGCATATTTAGGTGTTATTACAATATATTTAAATATATTAAAATTACAAATTATTGTGTAGTAGTTGTCACTGTTTTTAATATAATGATTTTTAAATGYATGTACTGTCTTGACTAATATTATATTGTATAAAAAATGATAAATATTTATAATTTTCTATGTTATTTTAGATTTAAAAAAACAAAGCTAAGTAAAAAATTATTTTATAAAAAAAGACAAATAAATATGTATAAAATTTATACAAAATAATAAAACTGTAAATAACAAAATTTTGGTATAATAATTTGCATATTTATATAATATATGTTATTTACTATTATTTTATTTTCTAATTATTTTTTTACAAAAATCTTTTATAATGTAAAATATTTTTTCTGTTATTATAAAACTTTATATAAATGTTATTTACATTAATATTAGTATTTTTTTGTTGCTATCATTTTAATTAATTTTTTTTACTTTTATTTATATTTTACTTTGAAATAAAAGAATAAATTATTTTTTATTCTAAGAAAAACAATTGGTTTAATGCACTGAAAATTTAATACATTATAAACTCTACAAAAACACTATATTTAATAAAATTTTTTATTATATTTATATTATTTGTTGTTATTTAGCAAACATTTTATTTTTGTTACAATTTTCTAAAGACATACAAATTTATTTGTCTTTGAAAAATAAATAAAAATAAGCAAAAAAACATTATTTTTATACTGTAGATGTTTTATCAGARATATTACTATTAGTGATATGTTAAACAAATAACATGTTTTGATTTTTTGTAATAAATAATAATACAAATAACTTAAATTTTTGTAGGCCATTAAAAACTGTATTATTATTATTATTAAATTTTATTATTAATACAATAATTCAAACAAAATTCAGAAGAGAGAGAGAGAGAGAGAGAGAGAGAGAGAGAGAGAGAGAGAGAGAGAGAGAGAGARAGARAGATTCAAATCATTGATATTTAAAATWATTATCCTATTGTTATAAATAAATTGATTTTATTTTTTTCTAATATTCAACAATCATATAGAAAGTTAGATTATAAGTTTATACAGTATATATAATACAAAATATTTGTAATATTTATAGATATTTTTTAAAATGTCTTAAAATATATATATAWRTATATAATGTTAAGGGTTCTCTCTTTTTTTTGAGGAGGGATGGGAAATGGCATCCATGACTAATAATTATTTATTGTTATAGTATTTAGATATGTATTGGACCTATCAATAGGGGCCGGGAGATTAGTCTTTTTGTGTGTGTGTGTGGACGACAATGAGCTTCATTGTCGATGAGATACACTTCAAATATCTAGAGAGCACTTCTAGACATTACCAGACAATCAATAGTTATAACAAATATATATAAGAGGAATGGTATCTATTTTTGCTCACTTTTACATTTTGGTTACACACACAATCTTTTACTCAGTGGAGACACAAATATTGAATACAAATAATAACAGATTATGTATACTATATATATATATACTGTATATATATATATCTAAAGATTTTTTTTTTTGTAAAATGATAGCCAACTGAGCAGTGAAAAGACGTACCGTTTTTTTCAATATAGTCCAGGTATACAAACATAATAAAATATTTTAGGACTCTCTCTCTTCTCTCTCTCTCTCTCTCTCTCTCTCTCTCTCTCTCTCTTCACTCACTACCTGTCCTCTCAAATACAAAACCAAAGAGGCGTATAGTTTGTTATGTTTAACAGTGGGTATTAGTCGTCTATTATCAATACATATACATAATATGCAAGTATTAGATATACTTATTCTTATTTAAACCTCTTCCTCCCTGAGCTCTCTCTCTCTCTCTCTCTCTCTCTCTCACACACACACACACACACACACACACACACACACACTCACTCACCCAATAGTTTGAGGTACTTATTATTGTTTAGACAAAGAGTATCCCTTAAAAAAATAATAAGACACTACTCTCTGTGAGTTAGGACAGGGAGAGACATATAGACAGACAGACAGCAAGCAATGGATCAATAGGTGCTACAGGTCTTAGGGTGATTGTTGAATGATAGGGAAAGCCTATAGGAGTGTAGTATATCCATAAAAAAGGTATATAACACTGTAGTATAGTGTTGTTAGAAACCAAACAACATACATATGCTGTATATATGATATTAGTCTTATCTATTATACGGATAAAACATATTATGCTACTCTCACCGGTACTTACTGTCTATATAATAGGTATGAGCCGTTTGTATCAAACATAAGAAACATAACATGAGGTTAAGTCCTACGCTTTGTTGACAACAACTTAGATATAGAAATAGATATCGACATTACATTTAATAATAATAATAATAATAATAATAACAAAAAACTGTCGTTTTCTCACACGTAAGCACTAGTAGTATAAACAGTATATCAAATAAATAAAAATATTTTTATATAACATTTTTTTATTAAATTCAAAATTTACTAATTAATACTATYGAATATTATTATTAAAATCAAATTATTTAAATTATTTAATAATATATTTAAATATTTTTTAAATATAAAAATACTTTTTTCTTCAATAATAAAATAATTTGAAAAAATAATTTATATAAATAAACCTTAATATAWATAATATATCATTTAAAATGAATTATAAAAATCTGTTAKTAATACATAATTAAAAGAAATAAAACTTTGYTAATCAAAAATAGTCAGCAAATGTTATTTTTTATTTTAGTTCAATAATTAAATGTAATATACAATAGTAATTATTTTTTMAAATTATAATACTTTAAATTATTAATAGAAAAATGTTTTAAGTTTRAATTAAAAATTTTAAAATTTGAATACAATTGTAAATYATTATTATTATTATTGTTATTAGTTCAAAATTATCAATATATATTTATAAATTATATTTAATAATTAAACWTTGTTATAAATTATAATTATTTTAAAAAAGTATATATTATAGTATACATAAAATATGATAAAACTTATATTATTATCAATTTTGTTGGTTATACCGGCAATAGTTTCAATTTCAGATTATGTAAGTAATAAATTTAAAAAAAAAATTATCCAGGTTATTTCTTTAAATAAAACTATTAACTATATGACTTTATGATAATATTATATTTTTTTAAAAAAACGATTATTAAATGTCTGGCTAACTAAATAAATAAATTATTAATAGATAAATAATTAACAATTAAAAATACACTATAATATAAACTATATTAACTGTAAAAAAAATTGGATCAAAAATCATAGGGCAAACAAATTATGTCAAAAGTACAGTCGGCCCGTACGGCCAAACCAGACAACCTGTTCCTAACCGGTATCGACGAAAAACAGGCCCRGACTAAAGTGGACAAAATAGTGGGCGCATTTAATACGGTAASCGCCGACCAACGTTTCCTGAACGACCCGTGCTTTAATATGACCACCACTGAGATGGCCAAAGGTGTTGGCATTTTGAATCACGGATGCTATGAAAAGATTGCCTTCTATATGATGGGCCAATTGTTTTCAGTGTTCAATAATTTTTGGATGTTTGTAGCCGACAGTGCCGGCATCGGTACCATATATGGCCGTACAGCTATTGTGTCGTATCAATTTCAGCTTGGTCAATTGTATATGGGCGTTTTTGAAGATCCACCTAAATAATAATAATAATAATACTAATCTATAAGTAATTAATTTTATAAAAAATTGTTTCAAATTTAAAGTAATAAATAAATCAAATTTTTCATTGAATAATTATAATAAAATTTTATTTATTAAATATTATGATATAATTAAATTGAATCCATATATTTGTTTTTACTAATACAARCAATTATATTATTATAATAATAGTTGTTTATATATGTTATTTAAAAATAAATTCTAATATAAAACACGTTTGTTTAGTAGATCAGTAATTTGTTGAATATGTATATAAATAAAGTTTATTTTTTAATATATATTTTTTTATTTTAATAGTTATTTTAATTTTTAAAATATTACTTAACAATTCAAAATAAAAAAAAATAAATTATAAAAATATTTTATTAATTTATTACAATATTTATTTTCAATTTATAAAAAATCTAATTTTGACAAATATATTATTATATTTTAAATATAAATTAATATATATATATATATATATTAATAATTTTTATTAATYGCATACTAATTAATACAAATARATTGAAGGTATAGTTGTTTTATTTATAAGAYATTATTGATTAGTTRATGATCGGTGTCTTAGTTAATTGATTATTGGAACCGTATCCCTGTTGCTGGAATACACCCAAAAACATTGGTCCCAATTGGAACTGATAGGCGACTATACCGGTGCTACCAAACGCTGATCCTATAAATGCCGATTCGCTGACAACAATCCAAAACTCTTCCCTATATTTTCTGATAAGACTCATCGTATCCAACGCTAGCGACTCATAACAACCACTGTTTTCATAGCCGACACCTTTGCCCATATCCTCGTCGGTCAACTCAAGACACTTGTTTTGTTGGAAATTTTGGGTAGCATTGCGGAAACCGTTGACCACTCGGGTAACATTGGCGGTTATATCCTCATCCATAAGGTTGATCTTCCATAGGTTGGTTGCATTGGCTACACGTGCTTTGTTTACCTGATCCAGTATATGTTTGGCCTAATAATATACAGTACAATATAAAATTTAATGATAGTTATATTATTATATAAATTTACAATATTATATAATACTATTAAATAATATCACAAACTGTGTGTGTGTGTGTGTGTGTGTGTGCTTTTAATTTGTTACAACAATTATCTTATTAATTATAAAAATAATTAATTAAAAATTAAATATTAATTAAAAAAATAATCATTAAGAAACTAATAACTAAATCTAAATTAATATATAACTTTATATAATATAAGTAAATGTTTATTAGCTGCAGTATACAATTTATGCTGACTGAAAATATAAAAATAAAATGTTTAATTACTAATTTTAATATAATTTTTATATAGTATTTTTTAATATTATAAATTTTTWCATATTAWWAATTTTTTTAAAAAAATAATTAYATACCGTATCAGATATGGCCAGTGTTGTTGTTATTGTGGCCACTATTGTGACTAATATGACAATCAAACAGCGAGACATTTTTTAAWTWWTTTTATTTTTAATTAATATTTAATATAATAATTTATTATATTGTTTTTTACTTAGATRATATAATTATTTTTAAAAAAAACTCTTGTATTTATATCAATWAAATTATATCAAAGTAAAAGATATATGTAGTGTTTGTAAAAAACAGAGAAATTTCTAGAAAGTTTCTAACAAAATTTCTTTCTTAATTTTGTTATCTTGTGACAAKAGATACAATTARTAATTAAATATTACTATCATTGGTATTTAAATTAATAATTAAAGTAATAAATTAAAAATTATAATTAACTTAAAATATAATTAAATMATTAWTAWAATTTTACAAAACTATAATTTTATAAATAATATGACCATTGRATTKAARGCTATYATTGGAWCTATAATTATAATTATTTTTTATTTAGKGATYCTATAATAAAATAAAAAGTAAAATTTTATWGAAATTTATTATTGAGAAATTTGCTAAAAATTTTCTCAGAAAAATCTACTAAAAATTTCTAATTACCAATTACTATGCACTGTATATACCAATTATGCAATTGTTGTCTATTAATTATTTGCAAATATTAGGTTCAAAAGATGCAATTAATGTTTTATTTCACAATATTGCAGTAATTTTTGGTAAAAACAATTTTATATAAAACAAATAATATCTATTGTTATAATTAATATGTAATGATAAMAATTTTTAAATGGTGTTATTTTGCAACAAAATTAGATTGAAAAATTTATACAGTATATAGATTATATATTATTTAATATATTGTGCTTAAATATTGAAATAATTTAATTTATCAAATTTTATCTTAATAAAAATGTTTTAATATCAATTACATTATTTGCTTTATATATAATTAAAAATATATTTGCCAAACATACACTTTAAGTTGAAAATTATATTATCATTGAAATATTTTATTAAAATTATTTTTAATTATTAAATTAATTTTTAGGAAATATAATTTTTCTTTCCATAACTTGTTTTTATTAATATGTRTATTAATCTTATCTAATTTAGTTATATATATATTGTTTATATGTTTTATTTATATTATAAGTAAMGTAAAWTAAACATAATTAAGAGATTATTAATAAAAATATATTACATAGTTTTTATTTAAAAAATTTTATGSATAATTAAAAAATGGACAAWTTTAATAGAWTTTTTTCAGTRATWAAATTTTATACAAATRTATTAAAMTAATAATAATAATAATTTTAAAAAAAATTATTTAGTWATAKTATTWTTAAAAAAAATTGCTTTAAATTTCAATAATAAATAACAGAWMATACAATTATTCAAATATATTTTATTTATTAATATATTATTATTTAATTTATTTATTTAATATATATATATATATATATACAGTATAATGTGWTTTTATTTAGTTGGTCACTGGTTTCTTAGCAATTTGACTATTGGTGTCATATCCCTGTTCCTGAAACACACCGAGAAACAGTGGTCCCAACTGGAACTGATAGGTTGCTATACTAGTGGTGCCAAACGATGATCCTATAAATGCCGTTTCGCTGACAACAATCCAAAGCCATTCCTTGTGTTTTCTGATCCGATCGACAATATCATTGGCCAGTCTCTCATAACAGCCTCTGTTTTCAAAGCCGACACCTTTGCCCATCTCTTCATCGGTCAACTTAAGACAACTGTGTTGTTGGAAATTTTGGGTAGCATTGCGGAAACTGTCGACCACCATGGTCACATTAGCAGTTACATCCTTATCCGATAGATTGATCTTCCATAGGTTGGTTGCATTGGCTAACCGTGCCTTGTTTACCTGATCCAATATATGTTTGGCCTAATAATACATACATACATATATAAAACAGGAATAGTTAAGGAGGATTATAGTTAACAAATTTAAGGATAGTTACAGTATTATTATAATATAGTATTAAATAAATACTGTATATATAATTATGTCTTTCTAATTTGTTGTGCAATTATTTTTACTATTATTACGCATAAAATATCTGAATATATATAATAATCATAATTATGTTTATTGAATGAAGCAAACAATTTAAGATAAAATAATTAAATAAAATATTAAAATTTAAAATGTTTAATACTATATCTTTATAAAGTAAATATTTTTGATATATAATATATAAATTTATATAACTTTATACATAAAATTAATAGTTTATTTAATATAATTGCAAACCRTATCAGATATGGCCAGTGTTGTTGTTGTGGCCGCTATTATGGTTAATATAACAATCAAACAGTGAGACATAATTGTAGATTTTTTTCCTGTTTTATTTTAAAATCCTAAAATAAAATAGTTTTAAATATATTTATTAGTATTATTTTCTTGTATTTATACCAGTAAAAAAATATAAATGCCAATTATGAAACAAAATAATATTGTGTTTTCTGTTAATTATTTGCAAATATTTATCTGAAAATATGCAATATATACTGTATATACTGTCTGTATATTACAATATTGCAATTATTTTAGGTAACAATATTTTGTTATTTAAAAAGATACTTATACTTCTAATTAATATAAATGATAAAAAGTGTTATTATTTTGTATGATAAATATTGATAGATATATATATATATACAGTATATATATAATTGTAATATTATGATATAATGTGACAAAAACATTTAATATATTGAATTTAAAGATTAAACTGCAATCAAAATTGCAATTTTACAATCATTTTTGATTATATTTTATTTAAAGTTATTATTATTATTATTATTATGTAACTGTTACATATAGGAAAATAGAAATTATTTCAATTATTTGTTTATTATATWATTTGTTTGATGTCTTTATATCTTATAATTGATTATTGTTTGTATAGAAAACTTTTCGTTCATAAATAAATAAAAAGTACAATAATATGTATAATCTATTTTACTAATGATAAATCAATATTAATTAATAGCTATAAAGTAACTTACATACATATTTCACATAATTTAGTAATATATATGATATCTATTAGGCAATAGTAAAGTTACAAATAACTTTTAAAAAAGTTACTAAAAAAGGATGTTATTATGTATAATATTATTGTATAAATTGCATAATACATTTGCAATGTATAAAWAAATTGACCACTAAATTTATATGTATATGTATACAACTAGAAAATAACAATTGYAAAAATAAACCACACAATACATAGTTTAACTATTAATATATAATATAATAYACAGTAATATGCAGTAATATCCTATAAATATACTGTACTGGTATTGTCATTGTATGGGCAATATTTTGTACAATTACTGTAATAATATGTAGAGTATTATTATATTATATATATATTACAATATGTGGTCCCAAATAATTTATGGCGTTTAAAACATCTGTCCCATTGAACAGTATAGTCACATAAAGAGTACAATGAGTATACATAAGAGCTCAGGGATGGGACAACTGTTCACATGTAGTATTAACCGATAGGTTATCTCTCTCTCTCTCTCTCTCTCTCTCTCTCTCTCTCTCTCTCTTTCTTTCTTTCTTTCTGTCCGATACACCAATAGTCCGATTATATRAATTTTCAATTTTTTTTTAGTTATATGTATTAAATATTTTATTATAACAATTGTTGTAAACATTGTTACAATATATCAATACTTTTGTATAATAATAGGCCACTTTAAATTCTGTAGTATTTTAGCATAATAATTACTATAAATATATATATATACGGTATAWACTGTAATAAACTATTTGAACAATAAGTAAGATTTACATTATTAAATGATTTAAATTTTGAAAAAATATGTATTGTTAGTACAGTATATATATATATATCAATAAATTTTTTAAATAGTAATTTAATTTATTAAAATATTAAATTATTTACTGTATATAAGCAAAGCTTARTATATCAAAATTATTGTTTACATTTAAATATATAGTAAAAATGAATAATTGTGTTATTTTTTTAAAAAAAWAAYAATAAATTATAAAATATTAAAATTTAGTATTTATTAATTCAATTTTMTTTAATAAGCTAAATGTATTTTGTAAACATTCATTGTCAARAAAAATATAATAATCAATAATCAATGTAAAACAATTGGTGCATAACTTTATTATTTAACTTAAAATATTTATTATCAAACAAAATAATAAAAAGTGGGAAACAATACTAAAATATTTTTGATGACAATTCATGTTTTTTGTGTTCATTATTACTGATGAATGTGTAAAACATTTTTGTCATAATTTAATTTATTAAGTGATTTGTGTGTATATATGTATGTGTTTATTGTAAAAGCACACAATATTTGCATATTTTATATAATTTACGTCAAACTCGTGTGTCTATTATTTTTATTATATTGTATATTAAATTATTATTTTATTCAATAATAATATGAATAATAATAATGTATAATAATGCAAATAATAAAACAGTTTCTTTTTTTAACATATTATTATATTTTGTATGACATTAACATTGATTATATAAAAATATATAATATATTGTGAAGAGAGAGAGAGAGAGAGAGAGAGAGAGAGAGAGAGAGAGAGAGAGAAAGAAAAAAAAACATTTTGTTTWTAAAAATATAGATTATTTTAAAGCAAATAACTATTAGTATATTTATGTAAATACAAACAATTACAGTATTATTATTATTATTTGTGTAATTTTCCCAAAAAATTATATAAAGAGTGCATAATTTACATCCCTGTCTTTTATTGTACATCAATAGTTTGCTTACAACTAAATACAYAACAAATACATAACAAATTCATGACAAAACAGATTTATTTATAACAATTGTTGTGTTATTTTTATTTATAAGTAAATGCATTGATTATTACATTTCATACATCAATGRATAATATTTTTGCATATATTGTATTCAACCAATTGCTTAATCTTTATAATGACAAAGTGTTTACAACAACAAAAATGTACAAATATTTTGCTAATATTAAATTACAAATGTTTTTTTACTAAATTTATATACAATTAATTGAAAGAAAACTATAAATAAAWATTTTGTGTAAATTATATAAASTTAATATAAATAAATTCMTTTTCACATGTTTTATAAGCTCTCTATTAATAGTAATATTATACAGTACTATATATATAGATATAAATTATATACTACTGTATAATATTACTAGTAATAGAGAGAACTCATATATTTATTAATTTAATTTTTTAAAAATAAYATATATATATATAGATATATATTGTATATCTGTGTATATTAGATGTCGTATGAGATATATTATGCATAAACTACCGGTTCAATTGAAAGCATGCTTGTGAGCAGACCCTAATCCACACAATACATACCCTAACCACTCATCAATCATATATTGGTAGACATATACAGTATAAACGGCTAAAATATTTTCATTAGACACACGGATAAAACATACCATACATATCACTATTTAAACTATTTTAATACAATGATTATATAACTTTCAGACAAATATTTAGTCGTGTTTATGACCAAAATGTATAATTTTATTCACATTTAATGACTATATATTATTGAAATGATTAAAACGATATTAGTTATATTAATATTGATATCTTAAAAAAAATTATTTCTAAAATTATTTGGAAATAATCTATTCATTAGTAGACTATTATGTAATAAATGTAAATTTAAAAGTTTTTACATTATAAAAGGTTAGTTTTATAATAAAAACTATTTTTTTGTAAAACATAGAAAATAAAAATATTTATTATTATTATTGTTCAATTGTATAAAAATATTTTTGTTTTGCAATAAATATATTGCAAAACAAATTTAACTTATTAGTTGACGATTATTACAAAGTAAATGTCATATTGATATAACATTGATATATAAATAAATGATAGTTTATGCTAATCTATTGTTTCAATCAATGTTGGTGGCAATCATACAATAATTACTGTATATATATGTATATATTCAGTATGTATTTCACAGACAATTGCATTTTAATACCACATGTAATGATTTTTTTTCTATTTTTCGGGGGAACTCCAGCTATCATTTCCAATGTCAAGGAAAGGCATGCATGAAAAGCTTAGAGATCGTCACTAATAAATACACACAAAATTTTAATACAAAATATATATTTCATTGTTGTTTTGTATTACACACCAGTGCTCTCTCTCTCTCTCTCTCTCTCTCACTCTTTATCTATCTATCTCTCAAACACCACTTCATCTCTCCTCTATTCGCTGTCATGTAAGAGATAGCTCATGTATGAGACACATAGAGACAAACACACATCTATTTTTATTTCTAAGCCTAACTGTGCTGGTGGTAGTGTCAGGTCAGTGATGGGTATCGATGTATTTATAGATATTGTCTGAAGGATTTTCTAGCTAAGATATAGCCGGGATGTTATGGGAATAGTAGCTCATGGATAGTGAGAGAGAGAGAGAGAGAGAGAGAGAGAGAGAGAGAGAGAGAGAGCACTTACTGTTTTGTCAAGGGATGCCTTTTCCATCATTAATGTGTCAAAACTGCATATCTCTCGATGTTTTTGTGGCACTTAAGAGACAATAATATTTGAGATGTGATGTAATGTGTGTTTTGTCGTTGTGTTAGTAATATCTTTGTATGAGTTAGTGAGTGAGTGAGTGAGTGGTGTGTATGTATGTGTGTGTGTGTGTCTTAAATCATAGATAATACTTAAATAAAATTACATTAAATTAAAGTTATATATATTGATATATTAAGACTATTGCAATAAACTGATATAAGCATTATATTATTAATAATAGATTTGATATAACAATTAATAAATAATAATCTTAATTGTTAAAACAAAATTAATAATATTGAAATATTTTTATTGTAATTTACTTGAMGATAAAATATGCATATATACTGTATATATATATATATATATTCAGTACTATTTAAACTAAAAATACAATATTAGTAAAAACTACTACAAAAAAGTACATACAGTGAGACTTTACTGACTTTAGTAAAACATTGGATATATATATATCCATACAATGAATCATCACAAGTGCTCAATCATTATAACCCGGCTTATAGTCACAACACACCCAACTTATTAACCAACGATATTGTATCACATTTTTTTCAAGTGATCTCTCTCTCTCTCTCTCTCTCTCTCTCTCTCTCTCTCTCTGATGTAATGTTCAATCACTCACTTACTCAGTCACTCGCATATAATATAATAATAATATACGGTATATATGGTTATCAATAAAAACTAAATTAAAATGTTTTTCATTTTATTTTATAATTTTAAAACTCAATCATTTTTATTTTTACAAACATTTGTATTAAAGATATATATCTATTATATTTAAT